CGATGGGCTGAATTGCACAAAACGCATGATCGCACCGGCTAGTCTGGTGCGCGTTGCTATTTATCTATTCTGTGCTACTTTTTAATCTTCAGCGGCCTTCCTTACCTTCCTCCACAACAATTTTTATCACTTGCTTGGCATGATCTGCGGGAAATTAGCCATGGGGGCTAGATAAATCCTCAGCCTGAAGTGATAACTGTTATATCCAGGATGAAGTGCGTAGTTGAAATTACTCATGAGGGGGGGGGGCAGATAAATGTCCTATATAAAATGATAACTGCCATAATCCATAAATTTTTCAGTGCTGCTGCACAAAATCGAAGGTCAGGTATCGCGGATCAATGCGGTTTATCTGCTTGCTGCTGAGGAGGGGCTGATAACGGCAAGTGATGATCGTTCGGTTCGTGTCTACCTGAAACGTGAAAATGGCCAGTTCTGGCCATCAATCCATCATTTCTTGCCTTTCGCTCCCTCCGCCATGTATTTCGATGAGAAAAATCTGAGGTAAAAACTCTCATCCACCGTTTGTTTCCGAACTTACAATGGATTTTTGCTGAACTGCTTCCCCTCGTCCCAGCTAATGACTTACAATGAACTTTTGCTGAACTGCTCCTCCACCCTTCCCCTTCTCTCCCCTTTTTCCCCGGCCCTCCCCTCCTCCCTCCTCCTTCCCTTGAGCTCTAATTTTGAACTAATACGTAACCATGTAAGTCTACACACGTATACAAGTGGATTTCCCATCTTGTTGACATTTCCGGGCGTCCACTTGACACTGCGTTCCCCCCACCCCCTGCCTCACGTAACTATTTAACTCTTTGTAGATATACGAGTGGATTTTCCATCTTATTGGCATTCCTGGGCGTCCACTTGATTGTCTAAATGAACTGCTACGGCGTGGCACTCACAAATTTAGGCCGGTAGTTCGAATTTTTATCGGAGAAACCAGAGTTTTTTTTAAAAATCTTTGAGAAAAATGAAGAATTTAGGTTCCATGTGAAGCTGGAGGATCAAAAACCAAAACTTTCCTTGTATTCTACTCGTTCCTGAAAAGCAGAGATATTCGTAAGTGGCCCAAATAGCAACATTTTGCCAGAAGCACCCTATATTTTGCTTCCACAAGTCAGAAATCGAAACTCCATCACCACCCGCTAAGAGGGCTGCCTTTTGTAGGTTGTCTTCGAAGCCAAAGTCAAAACTCCATCCGTCTTCGCTGTTTATGAGAGGCGGCTTTATGACGGCGCTTTTGCATGCGCCAATATAGCAAAGATCAAAGTACGGATAGAATAGTAATAATAACAATAAGTCAAGTAATAACAGTAATAGCAGTAATAATAATAATAATAATAATAATAATAATAATAATA